CTGGGGTGGTTGTTGTTGGCCTTAGATACATGATCTTCCTGGAGCTGTTCCTGCAGACGGCGGAGAAGCACTTCATGGTGGGACACAGGGTCACCTACTATGTCTTCACCGACCGGCCCGCCGATGTGCCCAGGGTGCCCCTCGCTGAAGGGAGGCAGTTGGTGGTCCTGGAGGTCCGAAACTATGCGCGCTGGCAGGATGTGTCCATGCACCGCATGGAGATGATTAGCAACTTCTCGCGGCAGCGCTTCCTCCGCGAGGTGGACTACCTGGTGTGCGTGGACGTGGACATGAAGTTCAGCGACCACGTGGGTGTGGAGATCCTGTCCCCCCTCTTCGGCACCCTGCACCCCGGTTTCTACAGGGCGGCCCGCGAGGGCTTCACCTACGAGCGTCGTCCGCGGTCCCAGGCCTACATTCTGAGAGAAGAGGGTGACTTTTACTACGCAGGAGGCTTTTTTGGGGGTTCGGTGGTCGAGGTTCTCCAGCTGACCACAGCCTGTCACCAGGCGATGGTGGTCGACTGGGCCAATGCGATCGAGGCCGTGTGCCATGATGAGAGCCACCTGAACAGGTACCTTCTCTACCACAAGCCCACCAAGGTGCTCTCCCCGGAGTACCTGTGGGATGAACGGATGCTGCAGAGGCCTCCTTTCCTCAGGAAACTGCGCTACGTGGCGGTGCCCAAGAATCATACAGAAATCCGGAACTGAAGAGCCCGGGGCCCAGGGAGGTCTCCATACAAGGCTGTAGCCTTAGCAGGTCTTCCCCTGGGCAAGGGATCAACCAAAGATTTGATGCTATGGATGAGTCCCTGGGCCTCGGTTTCCTCTTCTCGAGAGGCTCCCACCACTCATCCTTGTATTGAAACTGGGCTCATCCTTCATGGTGCCCACAAGGTCACCTTCCCCAGGAAAGTTTCTTTGGTTGTCTCTTCCTCCTCCTATTGAAATACACTGCTCTTCACTCTGCATCCCTATAAAGCACTTAGTGTATTCCTTTGGCCAGATCGGCTGCCATTCTGCTCACCTTGCCCATTGGTCTTGCTCATTACAATGTGAGCTCCTGATGGCAGAAGCTAAGACTTCTTCTTACAGGTCAGTACCTACCACGGTGCCTTATGCCCAGAGACTCTCAAAGCATGACCCCTAAACACCTGCTGTACCCTGTCCCCAGACAATGGGAGAGGCCCAGCCTGAAAGCACTTTCCTGGGTTTCGTTTGTGTGTATGATAGCTTGTTGCTCTGGGTGGTTTGTCTTTTTCTTATGGACTTTGGGGAGTTTGTTTTGTGTTTTGGGTGTTAGTACTTTTCTCAGACACATGCTAAAAATTTCTTCTTCTAGTTTGTATGTTGCTACTTCAACTCTTTTACCATAGGTAAATTTAAGAACTCATCTCCTGCTTTGAAATCCTGAAGATAGTGCCTTATGTTAGAAGATAGTGTCCAAAAGCTTTATGTTTTTGCCTCACACTTAGGTCTTTAATCTACTGATAATGATTTGTGTGTGCTTTT